AAGAGAAACAAAGTCCTTCAGAGAAAGACACTATCTTATGCAGAGTCGTACCTCTGGAATTTGAGAGTATCTCTGACATGTACCACTCCTTTCAAGGAGAACCTACTGCAGGTTGACTGGTGGTATCCAGTTCCTATACCTTTGGATCCTCCTTGGCACTCAGGCTAAGGCCAAGCTTCTCCTCCCCCCCGCCCCAAGACTTCTTTTAACACTCTAGGAGTGCTAGAGTCACACTGTGACCACCTGAACTGGATTCCACCAAGAGGCAACCTTTTTAAAAAATAATATTTAAAAAAATTTAAATTTAAATTTATTTTATACATTCAATCAATCTCATATGTCACTTAGCTTATAAAGTGAATGTTCCAACATAAATACATTTCTCACCAGTCCAGCTGGGGATACTATACATGTTATCATCAACAGATAGTAACCCATTTCTTTGTCCCATAAATGCCTTGCCTCTCTATTTTTCACCTTAATATCTTTCCTCAGACTTTCCTCCTTCTCCCACCCTCTTCTCACACTGTATCTGGTATCTATAACCATTTTCTATGTTTCTACATTTTCTAGTCATTCAGTTTCAGCTATAGAGTACAAACAGTCGGTATACATTAAGTAGAGACATAAAATGTTTCTCCTTCATAGCCTGGCTCGCTTCACTCAGCAGTAAATCTTCCATATTCACCCACTTTCTATCAAAAGCCAGGGAACCCAGGGTCTTGTTTTTTTTTTTCTTTTTCTTTTTAACGGCTGAGTAGTATTCCATAGAGTATATGTGCCACACTTTTTCTTTCTTTCTTTCTTTCTTTCTTTCTTTCTTTCTTTCTTTCTTTCTTTCTTTCTCTCTTTCTCTCTTTCTCTCTTTCTCTCTTTCTCTCTTTCTCTCTTTCTCTCTTTCTCTCTTTCTCTCTTTCTCTCTTTCTCTCTTTCTCTCTTTCTCTCTTTCTCTCTTTCTCTCTTTCTCTCTTTCTCTCTTTCTCTCTTTCTCTCTTTCTCTCTTTCTCTCTTTCTCTCTTTCT